GGGGGGGGGGGGGGGGGGGGGGGGGGGGGGGGGGGGGGGGGGTCCCTAGCCCACTCGATTTCTGGTCCCCGAGGGATGCTGTCCTGGAAACTCGTGCAAGTGCAGAAACACCTCCTACAGTAGACTATACAAGTAGTTTTCAGGTGTATGGTGGTAACCTTCGCATCACGGCGTGTCCGCACGTGCTTTGGGAAAGCAGCAGTGAAGAGTAACTTGTGCGCTGACATTGTTGGTGTTATTTTTCCCCGTGGTCCGCTCGTGTACCAGGTGTTTCGACTCGGCCGTGCGTGCGATGGGGATCGACCGAGTTCCGAAGCTGTACCCGCCGGTGGCGTACAGCCGACTACCCACGAGAATGTTCACCAAGGGCACCGACACCGGCTTGGTGTTCCAGGTGGGGAGGGGGGAAGGAGGGGGCGTACAGTCATGTTTTTGCGTGCCTTAGTTGTTCGACCACGTTGACCCGGAGTCCTCGAGAGGACGGAGCATTGCTCCGACGAAGGATAACCGGTCGACAAGTGTGAGGGGATTATTTCGTTGATGTTCCTACGCTTCGTCCGCCCGTGTGCATGCTCTGCCGGTGTTGTCGTAGCCGCGACGACTGCCCGGACATGTGAATCGGGTCGGGTCGAAGCTGATCGGCCGTTTGGCTAAAACGCTTGTTGGTTTGGCGGGTATTGCTCTTACATGTTGCTGTTGGCATCATTGTCACGGGATGCCTGCGCCAAATCCTGCCAGTGATCGTCATGCCCGCGTGTAGATCATTATAGCTGTGTATCTAGAGAGAAAGCTGCGTGTCCGGTCGAGACATACTCCGTGGATCGTTCGCGAATACCACGCGAACACAGCAGGCACAAGGTGGTCGTATACTTCGTGTTTTTGGAATGAAGTTGATGAGGTGTATCCAACAGGGGAGACTCATTTCATCAAACCAATCATGATTCAAACATACCTGTGCCCTTCTCGTCTCTCCGTCTATGTCTCTCGCTGGCCGTGTTTAGGGCCAGTTCGGGGGGATAAAGACGCACCCTCACCTTGTGGAGCACGCCTTCTCGGTGCACACGAAGCCCTTCTGCCAGAAGAGCTTCCAGATATGTTCCCCTTTCGTGGACGCGATACTGGCGCCGAACTACCAGAAGGGAATGCAGAGGTGAGCTCTTGTGTTGCGTGTGTGCTGGGATGCTGGGATGGATGCCTTGGGGCATTATTAGAGGTAGTACCGTGGGCGACAGGGTGCGTGCTGGGATGACTTGGGCAGTGGTAGTTTTTAAGGGTGACAAGTGTTGCGTGTGTGTTGGGAAGCCTTCGGCAGAAGTATTGTAGTATTCGCAGCAGAAGTACCGGTGACACGCGACGAGTGTTGGTGCTTTGGATGCTGCTGCGGCCGGGGCCACGAACTGGGCGGCTCCCGATCCTCCAACATTGACGTGGAATAGGCAAGGACGCAAGGGGGCCCGTGATTTGTCTTTTCTGGCGGGGGTGGGGCATGGGTGTGTGTGCGAGAGCAACGTAGACACTGCCGTCCGCGGATGCGTGCTCTATCGTGTACGTGGCAGGGCTTGTAGAGTACAATGCGACACATAACTATTTGCGGTAGTCTACAGGGTTCGGATTTGTCGGTTCACGTGCAATGGTAGAAGAGAGGAATGCGGCGTGACTTGGACGATGACATGTGTTTCACCTCCTCCGTGAAGACGTATCCATGAAAGACGTGTGTGTACAACGAAAAACCACCCCCCATTGCACACCCGTAGGTAAAGACTTCAGAGTAGACACAGGGCTTCTTGCGCACCGGATCCCAAAAGAGTAACATGACGTTGCAAATTAATACTGGTGTCGTTGTAATATACATAGTCTCGACCAACGTTGTGCCCTCTTCTATCTGGCGTGCTGCTGCCGTCCGTCCCGACAGGTGCTACGGGAGAGGGTGGGTGGCCAAGCCCTACATGGCGCTGGCAACCCTGCATGAGGGGGCCAAGTCCGGCCCTGCGGTCGACAGCGAGGTCTTGGGTGTGCACGTTAAGAACACCAGGTGCGGCACTGCTGGGATCCATCCATGCCCAAACTACCTGCGACGTTCGGTATGGGTTGTGCTCGTTTTCCTAGCTTTGCTGTGGCTGTTTGGGGTTGAATGGCTAGCATGAGGTTGGGGACGCGGTGTTGAAAAGATCCTCCGCAACCCTCTTTCCAGGTTGAAGTATAGTGCATGATGCTGACCTTGTTGTCTCGAAGCACCTGTCTGTAGGGGGAAACCTCTTGAATGGCCTGCTGCTTCTTTACTACTGTCTTGGGCATGCAGAGTCTACCCCGGATCCCTCTCTATTCTTGTGGGTCACTGCTGCAACTATTCTGTTTATGGGGGGGGGGACGATCTTGAACATTCTGCTGGTTCTTTTCTGTCTTCGACATGAAGGCAAGCGTCAACCCGGTTTTTCTTTCTCTTTCCGCCGCGACCGTCTGTGGGGGGCAAGGAACACTCTTGAGCATTGTACTTCTTGGGACACGACTGCCGCCGCTCTCCTTCCTTCCCTTGAATTGTTCTGTTCGTCCTTTCATCGTCATCGTCACTTAAAATAACAACACGTCGTCGGCAGCTCCGTTGAAGCGTTGGTGCCGGGGCTCAACGTTCCTTTCGGCATCCAGTTCACGGGCATGCGGGAGAGCCAACACGCTAAGGGGGGGGGCGGCGGCCGTGGCCCCGGGTGGCGTCAGATGGGCACCAAGGAAGACAAGAGGTTCTGCTTCGCCAGCCTCCCCGGGGCGGGGGGAAGGGAGTTCATGAGGCAGGTGCGCTCTCGAGACGGATGGGCGTCTCGTGTGTGTGGGAGTTGTAGGGGGGTGCATCGGGGAGGTGCGCTCGCTCTCGAGGCAGGCAGGTAGGCAGGCGGTGTTTCGTGTGTGTGGGAAGGGTTAAAGGGGAGAGGAAGAATAGAAGGAGGGGGGAAACAGCGGTGGCCTATTGTGTCACGCAGGGGAGAAGGAGGAAGAGAAGGAGGGTTGTAGGGGAGAAGAAGAGAAGGAGGAGGACATAGGAGGGTTGAAATTGGCCCCTTACATGCTGCGGTTGATGACTGCGTGAGGGAGGAAAATGTTCCGAGACCGGTCAGGAGAATCCGGTCCGAATCATTCGTGTTCTGGTTCTGGCAAGCGGGCTGTTAATTTTCGCAGTAAGTTTGGCCCGCTTTTGGTCACGTACTTCTCCTGTTTTCTGCACTGCTGTTGATTCTCCGGAGCTGGTGTATGCTCGCCATGTCCCCCCGGCGCACTGCGTGTCATTTCCCAAGTAGTGTCATTGGCCTGTCCAGTGGCAATAGGTGTATTTGCCGTCGATGAGGCTGTAGCAATAGGTGCAGCCCGACAACACCGGTCCTGCCCTCTGGCAGCGTCGACAAGCCTATCTGATCACCATAGCGTTTGTCCCACCCCCCGTGTGACGTCTCCCCTAATCGGGTTTTCGTCGCTAGGCAACGACGTTGTAAATCAAGCCCCCCCCCCCCCCCCCCCCCCCCCCCCCCCCCC